GATTGTGGGGTGATCAACTCCCTGGAGCAGTTTTTCCAGGAGCACACCAAAATTTTAGCTCTCTCTGGTTTACATACCTGGATTTGCTTCCCATGAAGGAAGAGGCAATGGCATATGCTTGGACGTGCATGTATACTAACCATTCATACTGGAGGGTACACATTTAAGAAACTGTCTACTTTATTTAGGATTTTTTTGAATGGCTACCTCCTGGCAATGTGAAGCTTCTAGAAAATGTCACTAAAGGTAAAGTTCCCCTCATAACAAACCTTTTGTTTTTGTGCATTATTGGTCAGTCTTTGAAAATCTAGTTTGATTCTTTAATCGAGTGAGATTTCTCATGTATGGCACGGCCCAAATTTTTACGCCCTAAAGAACATTTCCTTCCAAGTAGCTGATGATGTATTAACACAGCAATGACATATTTGAAGCTGGTTTTTAAGCTGCTATTGAAATACCCCTGGTATTTAGGTAGCATTTCCCTGTTTTTTGCTTGAAGTATCTGTTGATGCTTTTCTTGACATCCAGATGTAATAGAACTGTTTTGCACTGCTGGGACAGATGTGTGTAAATATAAACAGTTAAAGACAAGATACTTGTCATGTTTGCAGCTTTGTATACATATTATACTAGAATGTGATAAACATGAGATGTGCAAGATTTTCCAGTTAGCTCAGAAAATTCCCATGATAGCAAGTAATGTGACTGAATTTAAAGTTATTTCGTTCACTCTAGCTCTAAAATCTCAACTATTGCTACTCGTTACATTTTTTTTTTCTTGTCAACAAGAATCTTTCTGCCATAGCCCTGTTGGCTTGATTTCTTTCATGAGCACTGTTTATTACCTGATACCAGTCTAATTAGAGGACATACTACTCCTTGGTCCACATAGGACAAGTTTTTAATACACAATTATAGGAATATACACAATTTTGCATAGTATGGCACAGTATCAGCATGGTCTTTCCAACAGCTTGTACTAATGTGCTACGGCATAGAGATGAAATCTTTTAATAAAAAGTACTTGATGTCAAGTACTTTTGTATACTTGATACAGTCAGTACTCTGACTGAAAATAAAAATTCAGAGCTGTCAGTTTTGCACTTATTTAATTTACAGGCAGGGGACAAATGTAAATATGTAGCAGTAGAAAGTGGCATTTTGAATTCCAAATACAACCATAGTAGGCCTTCCCCTTTACGGAAAAAAGCCTCTTTCTCATCTGTAATGAGCTTCTTATGCTCCCCACCACTACCCCCAACAGCTAACAAAGTGTAATGTTCAGTGGTGTAACAGGGATCCGAATCCACTCCTAGCTTACAAATGTTTGACTAGTTTGATTACTTAACCTTTGCAAATGTACTGAGAAGTGGAATATATTTTGCATATTTCTGCATAATGTTGAAAAATATTAATTTGTTTCTGTCAACATTATATCATTGGGACACTTTATTAAACCATAAATATGTTCTCTCTGTTTTAATTTTACCTCTAGGTAACATTAGAATTTAACAGGATATCACATACAACTTTTTCCTCTTGTAATTATTATGCTATTTTAAAGCACTGGGAACTTATAAATGTATTTAGATGTTACCTTCCTATAAATTTCTATAGACATAGAAGAGTAGTCCATGACACAAATAAGACTATACAATGATTTTTTTTATAAAGCAGTATCTGAAGTAGTTCCCTAGAAGGGTAATTCAATGGACGTGTTATTGATACAGAGCTACTAATGTAGAACAGTTGAGGTGAACTTAAGTCAGGCTTATGGTGAAGCAGCCACTCTGGCTTATCTGCTTACATATATTTTCTTTTAAAATGTGAATTTAGAAGTTTCTTCTGTATGAAGCAGCAAAAATTATATTTGTGAAGCACTGACTTGGTTTGGTGGAAGTGGAACTTTTCTGCCAAGATCCACGTTGCAGGCTGAAATGAACGCTCAGTGTTGTCTTCCCACAGGACTGCCACGTAGCTACTCAGGCCAAGTCACCACAATATAATATACCCTTGAAAATGGAACACTCTAAAAGTAGCTACTGTATTTGGCCACACAAAGGAATGTTTTTATGCAGAATTATAGGGCTTGTAATAATCCAGAGGTCAAGTAGTTTTCCTGTCTGCACATCCCATAGTCCCTGTCCATCTGTGAAATACCAAATTAGACTGAATAATCAGATTTTCCTTACTATTTTATTTCAGACCATATTTAATATACTAGTGCTTCTACTGTGGCTGGGAATTGACTAGGAGGCTGCAAGAATATTTATTTTCTGTCCTAGTAGTTGTCACAAATATTTGCCTCCATGATGATTATACTCAAAATTACTCTGCTTGGCCATTTACATCAATAGTGCCACTCAAAAAAACCCCCAAACAAACCAACCCCAAAAGTCAAAAAAGTTGGAGGAAACGTGAAATCTGGGAGACAAGCTGCTTTGGATGTACTTCCATGCTGGCACTTTCCATGGGGATTCTAATTATGTTAATGTCTTCAAATGTTGCTTCTGAGCTTTATTTTATTTTATTTTATTTTATTTTATTTTATTTTTTTAAATTAGCAAAGTGTTTATGAAAGCCCGTTTCCTATTCCCCTCAGGGGTGTGTGTAAAGCAGCCGCTGTTCCTAGCAAGCGCAGAGCCCTAGGGCACTGTCCCCCTGTGGTGGCAACCCCGAGGGGCATTTGTTGCACTCACCCACATGCATATAGCAGCAGTCAGTCTTTCTTCTAGGCCATTTCTTGTCATTCTTTGAGAGCAAAAGATCCCGAGTCTGTTTCAGTATAGATCTGTGCACACAGGGACACTGTATGATACATATTTATTTATGATTAATGGAAACGAGTGTGAGCCTATGCATAAATTGGTTGATGAGGCCTTGTCAGGCACTCCATTAAGGCTGCACAGGAAATTCTAAAGCCAATTTGAGTTGACTTCATTTTCTCAACTGACTGTAATTTATGTTTGGATGTTCAGCTTTTAGACTTAAATCTTTTATGCTTTTTGGATAGAGACACTGAAAATGATTCCATCTGCTTTAGTCAATAAGAGGATTATAAGCAGCACATTCTTGCTATAAGGCAGAAAACTTTATGCACAGTATTTTCAGTGTGGTTGCAGTAGATGGCATTGAAAGATGTACGACATGCGCACTTTTTCTCTGCAGCAGGAGACACTGCAAATTTGTAAACTAGTAGAGACTTTACAATATAGTTTTCAGCATTGAAGAGAAAATCTGATTTTGAGTTATTAAGTTGGAAAATGTAATTCATACACCTGCCTGCCCTAGATAGTAAAGGATATAAACTAATGATTTCCCACTTCTCTATCGGAATGGCATACATTGCATAAGAAACTTGGAGAGAACGCTTCTTCTAATTCACCCGTAACACTGTGATACATTCAGACCAAGGCAGCCTGAGGGAGGAAGAAAGAGGTCTGTGTAGCGAAGCTGCTGCAGTAGTCACTAACAGGCATCCAGTGGATCAGCATATCCTTTGAGGCTCTGCTACAATCTTGTGAGTTAAGGAGAATCCTCTGGCTTCTTAGGGGTAGATCCACCAGTGACTGCATGTATTTTCCTTGTCTTCCTCTGCCTTCACCCTCCCTGAAGCAGGTTAACTGTGTGGGAACAGCAATAAGAACACCATCAATATCCATTTGGAAAACTGTCTAAAAGAGGACTGAACAGACCGAGGACAGAATAATGCAAGTCATATATTACACACTTTTCTAGCTGGAAAAAAACCTGAAAGTTAAAAAGGCATTGTTGAGTACAAATCACTGCTAAATTCACTTACTGCAGAGCTGACTTTCCAGTTACCAAATGAATCAGATGGCTCTTGGACAGCTGAAAAACAAGAAAACCAACCAAGCTGACAAAATTGTGTCTGTATGAAATGGAGCTCCGCTTGTTATTTAGAGGTGTCAGATGAAATCTGAGCCTAGCCTTGTGAAGGAGAGTCACCCATGGTTTTGTTTTCTGAGCCCTGGGTACAGCTTTCCTCTGTGGGCATTTTTTTTTGTAGTCCATGCAGTGTTGCCACGTTAATTATCAACAGGAAAACCATATACTCAAACTAGTTTCTTGCCTCAATCCAAATCTTGATCCTCAAACCCTTGGGAGTTTTGATTTGCAGCTGCAGAAGTCCTGAACTGCCAAAACGTTCAATAGGGTTGAAAACCTAAACCAGAACTTGATTCTAATTTGCTTGTGTGTCCACCACCAAAGATATTTTTAAGTAGAATATGATATAGATGAGGAATTATACTACATACCAGCTTCCCTGGAAGCCCTGCCTCTTCCGTGTGTAAGAGCAGGGGTGCATGTTGTGTTTTCATCTGGTGGATGGACATGGGGACTGCTGCTGTGAGCTGAAGAATGTAAACACTTTGCTGAGACATAGCAAAAATCCCCAATAACTTTGTAGAAGAATGTGAAAAATCCATCAAAGTCCAAAACTTGCTGTGGAATGGAGAAAACATGGCCAAAACCAATATTCATTTCACATTTCATCATTTTCCCTAGACTTCTTTTGGCATTTTTTCCTTCTGCATTCTAGTCTTAACACGGATATCAAGAATTAGACTGCTAATACTATTAGTATTATATGGGACTTCAGTGGTGGGCCTGAATCTCGCATATAAACAAGAGCTGTGATGCAAAAGAGCGGCGACACAACTGGGACAGAGAACAAATGGGATTGCAAAGAGCAGGAGAAAGTAAAATTTTTGCGTGTGTTGGAGATCAAAATCGAAACATTGAAGCAGTGGTGATCAAGAAGGAGTCAGTGTGCTAGCAGCAAGTCGGACCCCAGTAAGCCCCAGTGCGTGTCTCTGGTGCTCTTTTGTGTGTGTGTGTGTTTTCAAGATGGAGCTAGATGGAAAGACTGGTGAAAAAGGCCAATACCGTGTACAAAGGCTGCACAATCAGGGTTGGAAGTGGAGTTGTATGAGCTCTTCCATTAATCACCTTTTTATTTCTTCCTTCCCTTCCAGGTGCAAGTGGGAAGTACACCTCAGGACCAAAGAATTGTGGGATACATTTCCTGCACTCACTTGCAAGCTATTGCAGGTACTGTCCTAATTTTCCTGTCTTAGTTTTGCACTGTTTCTAGGCCTGTGGTGGTATTTTTGTGCAAAAGTAGCAAGCATTGCTCCTTCGGTAGTTCTGACAAAGTGCAGCGTGCATAGCAAATAGTAGTGAAATAGCCAAGAATGAGGGATAAACAAGTAAATCGCCCAACCTTTACATTTTCAGTCTCAGAGTAATTAAGTCTTATAGGACACAAACAAAAAATACCCCTTGAGACCTTTCCTTCTCTTTGCTCCCTCTTAACCAAATACTGTTATTTTAGCAAATAAATTACTATCATCATTACTCAACAGCATTTAACAGCCCATGCTGTGAGGATTGTCATATAAACTAAAATTTCTTTGTACCTAACTCGGGCATTATCAGAAGATACCAGTTAGGACAGTTTTTCCGTCAGAAATCAGCACCTGGAATAAGACCAAATTCTCTGGTTTTTTGACCTGCAAATTTCATACATAAATGGCTAGCAAGTTAATAAACTCATTGAAAAATTCTCTTGGTCATGTTTAAAAGCAGTTCCGCTATTACATTTACTACAGCATGCTCTGTGTCTTTTGTTTCATGAAACAATATTTTCTAAGGTTGTTAAAGATAAGTAAAACACAAAAACTCTTAGCAGGGTATGGAAGGCTTTTTTTTTTTTAACTTTTCACTGAATTATCTTAAAAAAGAATGAGATGTTCTTTAATAGCAGATTTCTGTGTCTGTGAGATATGTGGACTCCACTGCTTCCCACAACCAGACTGGAATTTCATGTAGCTCTGTCAGGTTGTTGTGGAGCCTGTTCCTCCTCAACCATCTTATGACCTTTTATGACTTTTTTTATGATAGTATCTCAACACTCAGCTCTTCTTTTTAAGATTAATATTCAGAACAAGACTGAGCTAGATGGGTGGCCTCATCTCCATTTTACAACCCAAGTCCAGAAAGCAAGGGGAAGAAGATTTAGTAACTTCTGGTCGTTTTATTCCATTTTTAGTGTTCTGATGCATACATTTTGAAATCAAGACGCTTCACCGTTTTAGCTGTTCGCCTGAACACTCATCAATTAAAATTGACAAATACTTGAAATTCTTGGAGATGTCTATGGAAAATATTCCACGTATATCTCTGATCTTTTGCATCAAACTATCAGCTCTATACTTAGAGTAGGTGTAGTAATAAAATAAAAGCCAAATCTACAAGCATTTTCATTGTGCAAGATCAGAATTTAATTTAGCCAGGGGGGGTGATATCCTTAGTTTTACTTGATGCAACTGCAATTCTTGTGCTCCTGAGGGCTGGAAAGCATGGCATAGCCCTCTTAGACTGCCTGAAGACAGCATGTACGCTGCAGACTGAGGCAAGACAGTCAAGCATTATAAAAGGTAGAACTTTGAACCCATGTGCTACAGCATGTTTAGGTTAACCCAGTTGGGCAGCTAGCATTCATTGTACTTTGTCAGTGCGTCAGTTGCAGAGAGACTGACTTGGGAACAAAACTGCCAGTCCCTGAAGTACATTAGAGGGACTGGATAGTGCTAAGGAAGATTCATGAATTTTTCAGCTACATTTTAACAATGTAACATCCTTCTCTGGTTTTCTATTTTTAACTCTGGAATTATGGTGATGTACTGTTGAGATTGCTGATGTGGAGCTGAAATTTGTTACTGTTCTAGTTTAGGCTATAAACCTCCATTTTTAGTCCTGTTCCTTTTTACTACCTAGTAATCTATTCTCAGTTAGTCTTTGATAACCACGTTGTGAAATCCCTAAAATATTAAAGAGGAAGAGGGGAGAGGGAAGAAGAATGGGGAAGTAATTTCTATTTTCAAAGTCAGCCTAAAGCTCCTTCAAGAGTAGAACACAACCTTTCATCTTCCTACTTACGTTCTTGCTTTGTATTTTTAGGCTTATGTGGTTCAAGCTACATTCCAAATAGAGCAGACAATGATTTAAGAGTCTAACTGTCCTTTGATATATCACATTAGTTTATGTAATGAAATGGAAAACTAAAGTTCATAAGTTTGGCAGAGCTGTGCTTTCTGATTTGTATCATCTGATTCATAACATCTCACACATTTAAAAAATTATCCAAAAACCAGTTCAACCATGTAAATATGTGGTATCTATAAAAACAAGCACTGTTTAAAAGGTTAGCCATTTAAATCAGCTTGTCATACATGGCTGAGCGCAGTTTGGCTTCCTTGGCTTCCCTTCTAGGATACATAAACTTACACTTAACAGTTCTGATACTTGTGCAAGTATAAAATGAAGGGATCCAACTGCTTATGTTTTTTTCAAGAGATGTGCTGGCTGAACTCTGTTCTGAGCAATTACTATTTTTTCAGACCTGACATTCACCTTTTTCAATAAACCTTTAGAATTAGATGTAGCTTATCCTCTCAATTCTCTCTCTACCTATTACTGAATGGTGCTATGAAGCAGCTCTTCATTTCCACTGTGGAAACAGCTGCATTAGTGACAAATGAAGGGATCCTTTAATGAGACTTGAATGTAATTCTTTTCCAAGGGGCTGTTAAGTTTACATGGTTCTTTTATGTCTTTCAATTAGTCAGTGATTAATGTTCTGGACAGGTTTTGCTGCCTAGAATCCACCTAAGTCCCTTTGAGTCATGCCTTTTCAGACACCCCGCCAAGCCATCAAAACAGAGTAAGCCTCAAGCTCTTCCAGCCCAGGTCTGGATGATGTAGCGTGCTGGATGCTATCTCATAATCTCATTCCCATCCCTGCTTTGCATTTAGTGTGAATTGAGTCATTAGCAGTACAGGTACTGGCAACACTAGCACCAGTTTCAGATTCCACAAGCCTACACAGAGCTTAAGCAGACCTCGGCTCAGGACTGAGAGATCCCTCAGTGTTTGAAATTCTGACCATGCAATCAGGAGTAACTTCAGTGCTGAGCATCCTTAGGCAGTGATTCCACATATGTTTCTGAAATAATAAAGCTGGTGTACCCATACCATGGCAGCTTGCCCTTGCCCCTTCCTCTCAGTTGTGCTAACGCAGCTGTTGTAGGCTGTGTTGCACTTGACTGGGGACCTGACCTAGCTGACAAGTAACCCAGCAGAATAAGAGGGTTTTTATTGGGGTTTTTTTGGACAGTTTGTTTTTATTTTGTTTTCCCAGCGTATCCTGGATGAAGTATGTTACAAGTGTAGGAGTCTGCTTAATCTGTCACACAGCCTGCCTCATGGCTAAACTTTGGCTGTAACTTGGAAACAATTTTTTCTTTTGACTAGGCTTTACATCCTACACTTCAGAAGCTTTTTTTGCTCATCTTCCCCAGGTTCCCTGCCAATATATCCCATAGCGCTTATCAGTGCTGAGAACTCTGGTTTTACAAACCTCTGACTAGGCCTGTCAACTGCTTTGCTCAGGCAGCACAGTGCTCCTTCTAACATCTTTCAGAGTAGGACAAAACAGTCTTCCTCAGTGTATAGTACCTACCTGCAGTTCTAACTAAAGCTACGATTTCACTTAAGCATTTCTAAAGTGAATGGAAAGGGCAAGTATGATTATCCAGTAATGAACAAAGGTGAAGTATTTATTTATGCTGGTTGAGGTTTCCCACGCTACCCTTTCACCCTTCCACAAAATTTGAAGCTGAAGGGAACTTGCAAAGAATTCGGAAATGCTGACTGCAGGAACCGGTCACAACACAATTACTTGCATTTTTCCAGGCCAGTTACTGAGGAAAAGAGTGTAGAGCAATTAGCACAAACCTGTGTTCTCTGGTTAATCACTGGTGGCAGTCAGTCAGATTAGTGATTCTATCTGAATGTTTAATTAGAGCTGAAGGCTGGAAGAAGTTGTTGAATGTTAGTTTGGGGAGTTACTACCTAGTTCTCTTCTCTTAATATTTATTGATGCTATTTCACTTCAGCAGAAGTTTCTGAAATGTCTGCTCCCCTGATAGTTCTGGATTCAGGTTTGGCTTCTCCTGTAGTTAGGTGTCTGATTAGTTCAGTTATCTCAGTCTCCAAAGCTCTTGCTCATTGGGAGCTGCTAAGACTGAGTCTCACTAGTAACTTTTGCATACAGATAAACGCAGTACCTGCTGTGTAGCTGCAGTAAGCTGGGTACCATTAGTTTAATATTAATCTCAGAAAACAGTTATATTCAAGTTGCATTACAGGATCCCATCTTTTGTTATGGAAATGTAGCTCACAGTTCATTGCACACGCTCCACGTAGTGTACTGAAGTGCAATTACTTCTATGACCTCTAGTGGGGATAATCAGAGATGCCAGACTGTCACAAGTTCTACACTTTTTCTAAAAAGAAATGGAAGTCATCTGTTTCTACAGTTCCAAGACTACTATTTTTCTGTAGAGCTCTGAGGTTATCTGGTGTACAGTGCTGCTACAAAGGCTCAGCATTCTTACCAAGGGAGATGGATGTCACTATGCAGTTAATGCTTTTTTTTTAATAATAGCAATGCATGTTACCAGACACCTTTCACAATATCCTCCTAGAATGTTTCTGCCTGTGTTTTGTTTTTCTCAAGAGTTTTCTGGTTTGGAGAATTTTACCTTTGTGTGTTTCAGTTCAGTGGGTTTGCTATGTTCTTCACGCTGGTCTATGACAGGTTGCTGCCTGAGTTTCATGCCCGTATCATAATGGCTGCATTATTTTATCACTCGTCCTAGTGAAGCCATGCTAGATGGATAATTCACAGAAAATGCAAAAAACCCCTGACAGTTCAGGGATGTAAAACCCAACATCTTAGACAGTTAAGCAATTTATATAATCGGGACTTTGTGGGGAGCAAGACAAGTTACTGCATTCTTGTCAACAAGCACCATGCTTAAAAGTTATGAAGAAACAAAGGCAGCCCAGAAGAAAGTACTGGCCCAAGGAGATGAGATAGGATAGAAAGATTCAGATGCTGCAGAAGGAGGACAGTCCATGAATTTGAATAAGCTTCACCAGGAATGAGAAAGCTGGGACTATTCAGCTTCAGAAGGCGGCTCAGGAAGGATCTTATCAAAGTGTGTAAATAACTGATGGGGGGGGTTAAGGAAGATGGAGGCAGACTCTCCTCAGTGGTGCTCAGTGACAGGACGAGAGGCAATGGGCACGAACTGAAATGCAAGAAATCCCGTTTAAAAAGGAAAATGCTTTTTATCGCAAGGGTGACTAAGCACTGGAACAGGTTACCTAGAGGTTGTGGAGTCTCCAACCATGGAGATATTCAAAGCCTGACTGGATGTGGTCCTGGGCAACCTGCTGTAGGTGACCCCACTTGAGCAGAGGGGTTGGACTAGATGCTCTCCAGAAGTCCCTTTCAAGCTCATGCTTTCTCTGAATCTGTAATTTCGTCTGTATCTTTAGTTAAGCAGAATGTATACGTTAGTCACGCACACCTTTTGTGGTTAGTGTCACCTGCTCCAGGCTCTATTTATTCCACGTGACCTATTTCTTGTGCTTTTGTCTAGCTACATCTTCACTGTAGGGCTTTCTTGTGCTGTTGTAGCAAGGGGTTTTCCCGAGAATACATTGGGTCTGGATTTGTGTCAAGCTGTGTGATTAGGGTACTATGTGAACTTGAAGTACAAGTAACTAGAAACTGTAGGTTAGGGAACAGATCCAGGAAGCACTTTCGTAGTACAGCCCAACTGGTAGAGATTGGTTGGGAATAACACAAGTGGAATTATTTGCTGTTGGAATTACCAGTCTGAAGAGATTAGTCACTGTCAGAACCTACTTAAAGCTCTCTCTTTCCCTGGTCATGTTCTTTTCAATATTTCTTTTAATCATGCTTGATTGAACATTTCTGATTTGGTTTGTATTTAACTGTTGTTTTAACACCCCCTCCATCACCACCCCCTGCAGTGTTCTTGAAAATCCAACCCTTCACAGGTTAAGAGTGTGGTAGGAAAGTGAAGTTCTAACACCTAAAATCTGTCTGTGTGCTGACGTGGTTATAGTGTGCTGAGGAGTTCACATTTTAATAAAGAGTGCAGGTGGCAGGTGGAGTTGAGACGAGTGATTAACAAGCTGTGAGGATGTAGACTTAAATATTCACCATCTCCACAGTGGCCACTGAAAGCAGCTTTGGACATACATAACTGATGTTTCTAATTGTCTTGTACACCTTTAATAGCTAGCACAAAGTAGTAAATTAGGTTAAAATAAAACTGTAGTCAGACTAAGTAATTTTGGGGTTGCTGCTTTTCCTTCTGATTGTGGCATTTGAAAACAAATCTTTTATTTTGAAGAAAAGTAATGTTCTGACTTGACGTATCATTTCAAGTCCTAAGCAAAATTATAACTGTTAACTATAGGTACAGTGAAAACAAAAGGAAAGGAAAGACAATATGGTAAACAATTGTTTCTAGAATGTGTCTGTTCCTGCTCCTTTCCCTGCATCAAGCTTTTGCTGTAATCATTTTAAGAGAGCCAGTAATTAATTTTTTCTTAGCCTTCATGTCACCTAATGTGCTTGAAATTGTGTGGTTAGTTGCTATAATTAAAGAGCTGTTTTGTGTGTCAGATGGTTTCACAAACAAAAAATATTTGGCAATCACTTTCATATCACTCCTATAAAACAGGGGCACATCCTCAGCACATGCAGCCTAGTGTAACTTTCCTGCAGCTGGTGAAAAGGATCCGGTTCTTTATTTCTGAAGTACTGCCTACCTAAAACTGTATCTACGCATAGCTTTATAAATACGAAAAAAGTACTTCCGATTTAGGCATTCTTAACTGAGCACAAATAGAACCCTTCATTGGATGGACTACTACAGTATGAGTAAGTTGGATTTACCATTGATGTATATTTACTAATAATGCTTGAAAGTTAAATTTTTCATGTTTAAAAATTAGAAAGCAAAGTGAAAAAAGATGAAGTGGTTTACCCCAGAACATGCTGTCCAGTTTTGTCTGAAGTAGGATTTTAACTCTGAACTCCTGATTATAAATGTAGTGCATCAGATCATCCTCCTCCTGTGGCTGGAAACGTCACCATTTTGGCTGGTTGTCTGCAGCACAGATGCCTTGTCTTATTTCTTCAGATGTGTCTAGTGTGATTGATTTCAGAAGGAGATATTTAAATCATCAAAAAGCATGGTTCCTAATGAACTTCATAATGGGCTAAGCGCTATGTACTGAGTATACTATTAGCCACACCTTTTTTTTTATCTTGCACCCTTTTTTTCAAGATGTCTAGCAACAGCTTAGCAACTAATAGGTTGCTGAGTAACGTGCTAAAAGGAGATCTTATTTCTTGTTTCAGTTGTTCGTTTGTTTGTTTGCTACAGGAGATACTACTGTTCGATGTGAGCAACTGGATATGCTTCAAGATTGGCTGTCTGAATTCAGAAAATCTACCTCCTCCTCCAGTACAGCCAATCCAGAGGAGCTGGTGGCTTTTGATGTAATCTGTGGAGATCTCAACTTCGATAACTGCTCCTCTGGTAAGACAAGGTTTTCCTTTTCCTGGTGTCTACCTATTCCAAAAAGGAGTAGGAAAGTTCTTGATTCTTGTGGGTTACAGCAGTATACTCAGTTGTGACTGGCTTTTGGAAGGAAAGACTTAATTGCTACAGATACTTCTAAAATGGGTACTAGCCTTGAGATGAGCCAAAGAGAGTAGTTCATACTTAGGAGCTCTGCTGAGTTACTAAGCATGATGGTTTTTAAGGCACAAGGGGCAGTAATTTGTGACTTGTGGTAGCATAATGAGGACAGATTTAGTGGTTTAGCTTTACTTGCATCAGGTAGACACCTGTTGTCCTAGAATTTTAGTTACTAATGAAAGACATGTATGTTATATGGGATTTTTGTGGAGAAAAAGTAGTAAATTCATGCAGTTAGTTAAAAATAATTTAATAGTGCATATACACAGACAGAGGAGATTAATGCTGCAGAGAGAACTAAACATTGCTGAATCGGTCTTGGAAAAAAATAACTGCTGCTGTGTACTTCTGTTTTTTTAATTTTAATAAATTTTTAATTATTTTTTTTTCTGTATTTGGATGCTGAGGGTACTAGAAAAAGAACTCCACAAAACCTTAATTAAAGGGTGGTGAGTTCACAGAGATGGTAGCCTTTTCCAAACATAGTTATGCTCTGTTAACAGTTAAATTGCCAACATAGAGTGCAAACCATTGTGTTTGTGTATCCTCTCTGCCTCCCTGCTTGGTACAGCTCAGGCATCCAGCACTGCTCCTTGGTGGCTTTACACAACGGCAATCAACTCTGCTGGCTTGGAGCTGGCAAATGGATCAGTGGCACCCAGTGGCCAGCTTCCCCTGCCAGGCTGATGGCTAAAAGGCCTTTTGCATGACTGGGCCAGAACGGAAGTACTGAGATAGAAAGAGCACAAGGCAGGTACACTGAAGGGGGGCTCGTCAGAGGGCTTTCGTCTGTGCTGTGTTACCAGGGAGATGTGCGGTGTGCAGGTGAGCTCAGGCTGCAGCACTGAAAGTGGGATTCAGCAATTCAGACCAGAGTTTGTGGATTAACAGGTGAATTTGTGAAAAGCATCTAGTGTGAATTCTGTAGTCTTCATAAGAAGCCTAGGTAACTGAGCCCAAGAGCAACAACTGTACCAAAAATAATTTTAAGAAACAAAAAAAGCAAGCATTGTCTGATCTCAGAAATAACCAGTGTTCTCTAGTCTCATGACTTGTACCAGACACTTGTAATGGAAGATTTTAGCAAAGCTGGAGAAACGTTTAATTGGGTAGAAAAGACCATCAACCCAAAACACAGCCCTTCTGTTGTTCATTTCTAGCTAATACGTACAAAAAATAAGTCACAACTGTGTGGTTCCAAGTAAACTCAGAATGGTCCGAGAAGGTGCTGGTAAGTGCTCTGAGTGGTTGAAGAATCCGTTAGGCACTGTAGAGGTGAACAGTTAAGTGGTAATGGCTACAGAATACTATAGTTAAACAAACACGTATTAGCATAAAATATAAACAGCAGCAGTGGTAGTGAGATTTTTAGGGAAGGAAGGAAGGAAGAAATGTGGTCAATAACAGTTCTTCAGCTAGCCAAGCTGCTACACAGACGGGCTGAGGAAGCAATTGCAGCAGTCCCAATGAAGGGAGGCAGAAGCTGGGGGATACAAATGGACACATCTGCCATTTGGCTGTTTCACTTGCAATATTGTTGGATGGATGGAGTGGCCTGGACGCAAAGGTGCCCATCAAGGAAATAAACAATCTGCTGCACACCAAAGGAGAGACTGCCCAGTCAGATCGCAAATCAGAAGTGAGTGGGGTTCTGCAACATGAGGAGAGAGAGAGACAGGAGTGAAGCTGTGAGGCAGAACACACGGTCAGTATTCTCTACCTGAGAAGTTCTGGCACTCTAACCAAGATCTTGCACAAGAAGCACAGAGCATAATTAATGCTGTTGTGACCTGTCTTCTTAAAGAAAAAGTAAACACAACTATTTGCTTTTGCAAATAATAGTTGCAAACATTGCAACTACTACTAAAGAGGAGTGAAAAGCATGTTATAAAATCCATTTTATTTTTGCTACCTCTGCCACTTCTTCACATCTCCCTCCCCTTTAAAATCCACTCAGCCTGGAAACGGAAATTAAGCTGCCTATTTCATTTTTTATTTTTAGATTGCTTTCTTTCCTTATGCACTAAGCAAAATTAATGCAACATTTTAAAGTTTTCTCCTCCATTTTTACATTACTCATTGTTTTAGGGACATTTGTTAGCATTACAGGGAATTGAACATCTTAATTTTTTTTTAAAGCAATAATCAGCTTCCTGTAATTCTGCATACGATTTTCTGTATTCTTTCCCACTCCACAGACTGATATGGCAAGTAATTAAAGTTTCAGTGAGTATCAAGCTTCTATTCTTAGATGTATTGACAGTGCAGTTTTCAAAGATCTCCAGGTCCATGAGTGACCTTAGCTTATGACAAGTTTTCTGCAACTCAGTTTTCCCCCCAGCTTTGCAGAACATTATGACAACATTCATACAGTGAATTCACACTTAGTGGGAACATGATTAGAAAGTTACTTACTATCAGGTTGCTTTGGACTGACTTGTGTAAAAGTCTATTATGTTTTTAAAAAGATAAAAAGCCTTCCAGTCAGGGTTAAGTTGTCTCATCAGCTGTGACTTGTCACTGTCAGTGCCACAGCTGCAAATTAATCATGACAAAATTTTAATCTTAACTTGTTTTTGAGGAAATTTTGTAGACATATAACAAGGGAGAACTTGGAGAAATGAACAACTGCACGGACTTCATCTTCTACTTTTCCATAAACATTAAACAAACCAATGGGCTGTTCAGACAGAAAGAGCAATTCTCTGCCTTGCGTGCCTGGCTAATCTTAGGGAGGGTCAGTCCTCCGATCCTCTGCCACAACTCCAGGATACCCTGGCAAATTCATTTTTCAATCTCCCTGCAATTACAAGGATGTTCTCAAGATCAAGATCTAGTTGGGGCAGGGGAGGTGGGAGGAAGCTAGAAAGATGTAATGAGACAGATCAACTGGTGTGGATGCAGTAGCTGAAGGACAGTCAGCTGTACTAATGACTATTAATAACAAAATGGAAAAAGTGCCTACAGCTATGAACCCAGTACTACTGCACTCCACATGTGTGTTCTGCTTGCTTATCAGGGAGAGGTCAACAGCTTCTTCCCTTGGCAAGAACAGCATTTTACACAGGGACATCAAACTGTGATTCCTACAGTGTGTGAGCTGCATTCTGTCTAAGATACACAGCTCAAAGTTTTGTTTCTGATGTCTGAGGAGTCAGTTTTCATGCATACTTACATCTTCTGTTGTCTTGGCAATAGACAGTGACAAATATGTTACAGCAGCAGTTCCAAACACAGGTGAATATTCTGCTGATCCCAAGAGAGAGCCTTCAAGTGTCGCTAAGAAGTTTTAACCTTGTAAAAGGTGTAGGTGCTGCAAGAAAGAAAGTTATCAGGAGCTGTTGCCAGTTTCTTTGCCATTTAACAAAAATGGAATTGTAGCAGCTGGTATTTTCAAGTTATGGTTGTGCTTGTTTCCCAGGTATAATGATTACTATGTTAAACAGCATGCACGGAACTAGAGCTTGCTTATTTGTTCTGTGTCTGAAATTCTGATGTATACATTTTTGTAGGATATCTTACTAAATAATCCTAGAAGCCTGGTGCACTGTATGCTTTAAATGCAAGGAGCACAGTAGCAATTAGCAAAAAATTAATTTCAAGTTGATGGGTCATGCTGATTATGTTTAGAATGGCTTTAACGCTGCAGGTAATATCCCAAGCAAATTATGAATTGCCTGTCCTTTCTCTTATCAGTTATAGCTTGGGAGACATTCAGTCAGTGAACTCTTCTGAAGCAAGTAAAGCACAAACTTTTATCTTCAACTTACTGAGATGTGTATATACACCCACAAACAGCCATTTACATTGCCATTCTGAAGTCAGTCCAATTCTCCATTGTGTCATCTATCTCAGCAGAAGTTTTGTACTGGTGTAAGCAATGCTATGTCAATGGCAGGGTAAGGAAATATGCTGGAAAACTTTCACTTCAGTTTACAGCTAGAAACTACCAAAAGATGTATTTCATAGAAAGACTTTGTAGGAAAGCACTGTTATTAGCAACCATTTGTTGGAAGTTCTGATCTAGACAAGATATTGCTGTGCAGGAGAGCTACTACTGAACTGGTTCAAATCAACCTTATGTATGTATACTGAGTAGGAAGAAGGACTTGCCTTTTCCATTGTGGCAGAACACGCCATTGTCTGGAGGTTCACAACACGTAGCTGATGTGCCTTTTCTTGGGCTGGTTCTTTCCCTGCAGAGGACAAGCTGGAGCAACAGCATTCTCTGTTTACACACTACAAAGACCCATGTCGAATTGGTCCTGGGGAGGATAAACCATGGGCAATTGGTAAGACCTTCTCTAGCCATCAGTGTCTGAACAGTTACTTGTCTGTCACTAATGACATCTCTAAGCAGCAGGTCGTTCAGCTAATGGGCAGTAAATTTGGTGGAGACCAAATACTTACAAGGGGTATTTCTGTACCATATATTTTATAAACCTTAACAGTGTCTTGTTGAATTATAATTAAAAACCAAACAGAGATCTTAAACTTCAGTCCATGTTCTAGAACTTATGCATCAAGCTACTTGAATGCCTTCCCACACCTATTCTACTCTTAAAATAATCTCTAGATTACTTTGGGGTGGGGGGAAGCCAAATTATTGTTTCTGTACTTTCTGCATGCAGTGAAAGCCTGCAGCTTTTGATCAGAACATTCCATTTGGTGTTCTATAAATACTGTAACTGAGGATGTAACAAAGCAACTCAATAACTCTGTGAACTTGTAGGGTTCATCTTATAAAAGATTTAATGGAACTCCCAAGATATTCATACCTGGTGAACCTCAGTTGAACTTGGTGAAGTTTTAGATCAGGAATTAGACCTTCTCTAGAGCAGCAATTATAAGTGTGAAGATGCTAAGCGTAAGAATGTGGAACTGTTTAATAATGTGGCTTTACTCTGTTGTAACAGAAAAATAAAAAAATCAGAGACACTGGGGCTGAGAAACTGGAAGGGCAGAGGCAACGCTTTGAAAGGTGGGAGGCAGTAGGGAGATCTGGATAGAGGAGAAGTGAACACGAAGTGCTCTCAGTCAGAGCGGTCCCCTCTCACCCACATGGATGCTGTCTTCACACACCTGTGCCCCCAGAAGCTTCCCAAAAGGCAAGTCACAGGAGGTATGCTGGGACAGTCACATCTCCCTTTCTGTTTGCAGGTACCTTGTTGGATCCTGAAGGATTGTATGATGAAGAAGTGTGCACGCCAGATAACCTACAGAAGTATGCAATTCCTAATCCTCCCACGTGCTTTAGACAATTCCTTAAAAAGCCAGTTCATTGCTTGCTATTTAACATTCCACAAATAGAGGGGTGTTTTATGGACTGTAAAAAACAACACCCAAAAACCCCAACAAACAAACCCAAAACCAGACATAAATTTTTACTCGGGTGTACTTGGGGAAGAGGAAAAAAAAAAAAGGAAGAAAAAGTGTCTGCTTCTCCAAGTCTAATAGAATTGGCTTCAATGGGTGAAAAGATGAGAGCAATGGCAGTCAGTGGTTTTGCGTCTCTAGAGTTGATCCTGCCTGGACAGGCCCATTGGACAAGAAACTCCGAGCACTACCAAAAAGGGTACATGGAGTTGTACCTTTCTGCAGTCTGAAAGTCTTTCTGCAGGCAGCCAGTTCCGTGGTCACGACACTGTAAAGGACAGCAACAAAAGAAAATGTAGTTCCACTCAAATAAAAGACCCATAAAGTTTAAAACACCACCCCTAACCCCACAACTAATTACCCATTCTAGAAAGCTTGCAGAATTAGATACACCTAAACCAGCAAGCTCACAAGTATAGAGAGGTGTTAAATAGCACATCAGACATAACTAGGAATATGGCTTAATATCTATCAATGATACCAGTGCAGCATTACTTTTAGGGAGTGTTTGATATTGAGATTGAGAAACAGGTATCTCTGAGTGAGTGGACTTATGAGAAATACAATGAAAACTTAATTTGCAGAAGTCTTAAGATAAATTTCTTGAATACCTGTACTGTTTGTTAAATAATATGGCAGTAGAGAGAAATTAATAAGCTTCGTACATTTTAGAGCAGCACTTAATGAATGTGATAAGCCTTTCTGCACCTTCTCTACCTTGAAGGCTAGTTTAATGGACTAAGTATGTTGCTATTGTGACTAACTATAAAAGATGTTCTAGCTGTTCGTTACCAAAATATACTAAAGAGGTAAAGTTACTTGAATTAATGAGTCTGCTTCAGTTAACACAAATAATGGAAATGGTACATTATATAGGCACAGTTTATGGTGGCAGTTTTACTGAGCACAGTATGCTGCATGGTATAGATGGACAGTTAAGTGTATTAGGTGAGGCTACCCCTTGAAGTCATCTTTGTATCAGTTTTGAACAAAGAAATTGAATTCTAGACATAAGGTCTGGGTTTAGTTTATATTCAAAATAAGGATTTGTTACAGCAAGTCACACTTTGCACATTCAGGAGCCTGCAAAATTTCCAGGCATTTCTGTTCACATGTTGAAAACATTAATTTGGTACATGTGAAAGGGATTTCTGGAAAGCAAAAGTAAGGTAATTTGGCCCTACAATGAAGTTTGCAAATGCAAATCTCTATGTGGGTGTAACATCTATTTTATGGTTCCAAGAGCAGGCTTGGAGCTCTTTAAAAAACCCCTGAAAACCAAGAACCCCACCTTGTGTTTTCAAGCAGCCTTTTGAGACAATCTGTCACAAAATTACTTTTGGGGTATTTTGTTTTATTCCCTGAAGAGTTACTTGTATTCAGCAAATTAAGTTCCACTGACAAAGGCATGACTGATAGATAAAGAGCTATCGAATCATCAACAAATATTTATGAGTATTACTTCTGCTACCTATGTGTATGTACAGCACCTCAGTATGAGATAACTGGAAAATATTTTTGAGTGTCGGTAACAGAATATACATAAGACTTTTTGCCTACTAACTGTGGCTTTCAGTTTTCTGCAATACATTATAATTCTCTTAAACTGATGAAAAAACCTCTACTAGACCAGAATTTCCACTAGCTTTTTCTGCAGAGAAACAGGGATCTGCATATGTACGTTATATATTAGAGAAAACACCACTTCCATGAGAGGCCGAGAGAGCCTGTCCTTCCATTTCTGCGAGGGACTGGTAAACATAAAAATTGCCAGTAAGTTTAGAAAAATTTAAAGCCATTAATGGAATCTGGGCTTTAAAGACATTTAAATGTTAAATAGCCCAGAAGCTGTGGAGCACTGTCCAGCTAACAAGGATCACTCATCTACACAGCAAAACAGGGTACAGCCTAAAATTGATCTGTTCTCAAATTTTTCAATAATAAACCTTGATCAAGCTTTACAGACCTTGAAAACAGACATTTAAATTGGTAATGTAAGCTATACAGAGAATTATTTCTTCATCAGCACTCTTCCCTAGTTTATAAATAAAATGTAGTTCACATTACTAAACTAATTAGGCCATAAAAACAGCAGAACAACTAGTTCTTAAAATATTTCTTTCATGTTAAGTAAGTACAGCATACATAAAACATCGGCCTAGAACATACTTGGTACAAATAATGAGCAAGTCATTTATAACTATAGAACAATTAATAAGCTAGATGTTAAAATCTGGGCCCTGTCACAGTGCTGGCAGCTGCACAAGCTTCTGCTCAGAAAGGCTGCATGAAATGCACACAAATAATCTCATCTCACAAAGACGATTGTCACCTTCAAGCAAAGCACTGGAATAAGCCCTGAACAGAGTCTGGCACAGGACAGCACAGCTAAGAAACAAGATGTAAATGCAAATCTTTCCAGTTGCCACTGCTGGAGTGTGGCTCGCAATTCTGGGTGACAGGCTGCAACACCAGTAAGAAAAGTCTTCCTTAACTCGGGTGCTTCTCGCCTGAATGAGAGATGGTCCCTCGAGCTTTTTGATGAGGGATTAAGTTTTGCTTTATGGCTCCCTTACATATACTGCTTTTCATGCTCCTTTGTTCATTGCAGCTATGGTCAGCACTACAAACAAACCATTGGCCAGAGAGCTGCATGACAGAATTTCAATACTTAAACTTTGGAGTTATTTAGGACTGAAGATCTTTCAAGATAAAAATAAAGTTCCAATTACTTTTTATCCTCCCTTTGTGTCCTATGAATTAAGATGATTATTCTGACAAAATTCAGGTTTAGTTGTGAAACTCGGTCATAATCAGTTATGTTCACTTGAGTAGTTAGCATTTAACTGTTAGCACCGCACAGCCAGATGTCCAGTACTTGTGTCTACTTCCTGTAGAGACAAACAGCAAACCATGGTGTATGAAGTGGTACAAGTTTTAGTCAGACGCATGCACGTTTACAATTAGTTTTCCTCATGTATTTGAAATTAACATTTCCCTTCCATGAGCAGTTGTGCTGGTTAAGTGAATACCCAGCATTCACAGACTTTTAAAAGGACATAACTGAAGCTAAAACAAATTCATCTTTTAAATTAATGCAAATAAGATTTTTTTGCAGTAGTACCACAGCGCTAATCAGCAGTTTCTCCTACTTTGTTACTTAATTAGCTTTGCCAAATATAAATACAATTTTTGAAAGAGGTCAGTCCCATCAAAGAGCTTGCTTTCTTGAACCTCTAGAAGAGAATTTCAGGAAGTGAATCATTTGCAGTAGCTCTTTGTAGAATCAGCTTGCAAACGGGGTGCAGACAGTAAGCTAATTTAATGCAAGCTATTAGATGACGGTCTAAAACTAATACATAACGGAAGCTTACTTTCATAAACTGGTTACAGTAAACTCTAAGAACCTTCAATACCTCACTACATTCAAAGGGAGTTAAGGAAAGTTCTGATTAAATAACTGTAAGACCAGAATTTTGTCATTGTTATCTTTGGAAGGCACATAAAGTACTTCTTGTATGTATCAATTGACCCAAACTTACAGATTATAACACTACTGAGACCTAATCAACTGTAGCAAGTGCTGTATCCCCCTCTGCCACCATTCAGATCCTTCCAAAGAGACAAAATCTGACAAAGAAACCATTTGAATCTCAAACATTAAAACACAGCACGGGAGTCTGGTGTTTGTCTCTTGTTTTTCCTTCATTCTGTACTCTCACGTGCATGCATTAAAAAATTTCTAAACCCAACCCCATAAAACCCATCCAAAGCCAAGTCTTAAAAACTGGGTGATCAAAAATATCTTATTTTTTTCCAAGGTGAAATTAAAGGCTTTGTACCTGCTAGGACCCAAGTTCATGGCTCAGTGTTTCTCCTGCGACAGTTGATGATGTAGCTTAATGGCGTAATCAACTCTTACAAGGGAAACCACAGAACCTTGAGCTCAGGTTTTGGCAGGTAAGTAAAGGAAAATTATTTTCAAGGAGGTGGTTTTGAAAGTAAGTAGTTTGTTTGTGTTTTGAGCCAGATAGCAAAACCACAACCTAATCTGTCCCTCTCTGCATTCACAGTTATCATGCAAAACAGCTGCGATGATTGTACCTGATATTAGCTGTCTGCATAATATCCTACACATGCAGTTACCGTGTGCAACTCCTGCTTTTGTGTGCACAGTTGTGTCTGTTGCCTTTAGCGCTCCTTTGGTAGATCTTTTAAATAGAATACAAGAAGGTAAACCACATTTCCTTTTAAATCCAATACAACAGCAAAACAATAGAGAACAGCAGAACAACAGAGAATTATTGTAAGAATAGAGTGACAGGGACCTTTGTGGATTATCTGGTCCAAAGTCACATTCAAAGCAGGGCTAACTTCAAACTTAGATCAAGTTGCTTGGGACTTTAATAGTCTTCTGTGTAAAACCTAGTGTTAAGGTTTAAGCACCCAAACTACAAATTTTAATGGGAGAGCTGCAGGTTATTTGCCTGAACACAAGACTGGTACCTAGAAAACTGATTCTTAATTTTGACTGCTTCTGTGTATGGGCTTGGGCTGGGTAATCTCCGCACAAGATGGGGGCAGTACTAACACACCCGCTGAGTAAGTCCATCTCTGTAGAGGAGTTTGAAGAGTGTCACATACAGGAGTCAAATAAATTAGGCTGTCATTACTAGTGAAGTAAGAGCTTGAGGTCCAAGACACAGCAATCTGATGCTGGGGCTTGCTCAAAACCAACTACCCCATGCCCAAATGTGTGTTCCTGAAAACCATTCCTCATTCATACTCTGCCTGTAAAGCTGGCTGTCTTCATTTCAGAAGGAGTTGCTCTGATGAGAATGAAGAGGTTTGTATCACAGTGTTCTGGTTTGTTCTGAAGCAATCCATGAAACAGTTTCCTCCTCTGCTAGATTCAACAACACTGGAAATCAATGGAGGGGCTGTGGGCTGCAATATACTACAGAGAGCAGGCAAGCAAGGTTCTCCACTCAGATGTTTGTTCTCCTGGCTACAAGGGTAGGTCTACCAGTACAGCACCAGTAATGCCAAACCTGCCATGAGGCTCTAAGAGCAGTGTCAGCAGCTAGTACAGGTTTGTATTGCAAAACACATTTGGAAGACGACGTGCTTTACAAGTTTTAACAGTCCTTTTGGACAGGCATTACCCATACCAGGGGTTTGGAGAGAATCTAGTGTAATGCACAAAGGAACAGAATGAGCAAACATTTAAAGCACTTGTTTTGTTTTTTAATGAAATAGGGTGCTGGAAAGTGAAGAAGGAAGGAAAGGATACTTAGTCTATCCCACCAGCAAGAACCACAGTTCCAGTCAAAAGGGGAGGAAGGCATCATTGAAAGGAAACGGGAGGAGGATTGACTATATGCTCTATACAGAAGAAGGTCTCTACCTGGAATGGAAAGTGGTGAGTTTCAGAGTTCACAAAAAGAGCCATAACTCACACAACAAACTTGTCTGGATGGCACTGCAGCCTGTTCTGCTTGGGTTCAGATTCATACTGCACGGAGAACCTGCTGCTTTGCTATTTTTTACTTCTGCATGCAAGTACCAAGTTTGTAAACCTATTACATAAACAAATCTGAGTTTAAGGATTCTGGTAGCAACGCTGGTAGATATGCTGCTCTTCAAAAACAAACAAATGAAAAACCTTGTTTCCATTCTTTAAACTTTTGCCAGACTAAGTGTTTTGGCTGATGCTTTCCATGCCAGCAGTATCAATATTTTTTAATCTTTTCAAGTGCCTGGATGTTCTTTTATTGTGGCTCTGAAAACCTACCTAAGTTACAAGTCGGTGATACACAGGCAGAAGTTGACACAGGCTAACCAGAACGAGAACTTGCAGTGCACTGTCTGCTTCCTGGTGTAGAACCTTGCCTTATACAGCATTCCAGGATGAAAATGAGAAACCAGTTCGCACTTATTTACCATGCCCCATTGCAGTTGCAGTTGCAGAAGAGTAGGCAATAGAGCACTTCAGCATAGCTTAGTGCACGATACCTCCATCTGTCTGTGCTGTTTGCATGCACTCTGTGGACACAGCAGCTTGGCCACTAAATTCTTTTAAGGCTTCCTGTTTCAGACACACAAATACCAATGGCGCATCTGTGTGGTAAACCCATTCTTATATTTTGCACAAACAGCGACAAAACCAGTATTTGAATAGATTTGACCCAGATTAGGTCTTGATAAGGCTCATGCTGGCAGCATAAAGAGAGCTAAAATATCTGCGCTTCCTGCAAGCAATTCCCAAAGTACTGGCAAAGTAAGTACCTGGCCTGTAGGAGGGGACAACTGCATTGTATCAAGTAAGCATTAAGGTTGCTCCATCCAGCTTTCAGAAGCTGGGAAGCATGCAGTATCTCCTACAGAACTTTAATTTGGTCTTATGAAATGTTGCCAGAACAAAGGCTGAAATCCAGAGATGCAAGGAGCAGGGTTCCCAATTGCCTTAAGTTTCCATGAAGTTTATAACACCGCAATCTAATGAAGACAGGCTTCCTTTTTAGCTGCATGCCTTATCTGGTACAGTACGGCCAGCCCTTCCTCCCAGGTGAGTGCCTCCTTACACACATGGATTACCTACTGCAGCACTACAGATAAGCCTGTCTGGAACAACACAGATGCTACTGTAAATGGAAGGAAAAGGTACAACAAATTTCATCCAGACTAGTTCAACTGTGTATTGTATAAATGGTTTACCTCATCAGCTGCACCACACTGCCATGTCCTGTGTGACAGATAGTTTACCATTAGCCCAGCCAAGCTCGACTGGTCCCATACATCCACTAATACAGTAAGGTTGCTCAAAGTAAACTAAAAAGAGGCATAAAAGCAGAGTCCTGGTGTGTGGTACAACAGATCAGTTTTCCAGTTCCTTCTTTCTTTTGTTTTCCTTCTGCAGGAAGTGGAAGAGTTCAGCTTTATTACCCAGTTAGCAGGCTTGACAGACCACCTACCAGTAGCAATGCGTCTCATGGTATCTACAGGAGAAGATGACCCTTAAAACTGACCAGCTTTGAGAGATTAGGAGGGAAACGTTAACGATACTAAGAAAATATCAGAGGATAAGAACGAACTATTCTGGTGCCATGTTAGGAAAGACGACTAGACCTGACCCGGGCTAATCCCAGAATGTACCAACAATGACGGATATAAAAAGGGAAGAAATGGAAGGGGTTGTGGCCAAAAGCCACATCACAAGTTGCTCAGGCAACAGGGCAGGCCTGTACTACAATGCTTTCACTGTGGACCGAACGGAGCCAAGATGGAAGTCCTAATTCCTTCTGAACCAGTGCCATTCTTACTAAAACATGTTTTTATACTAATATATAGCACAATTTAGTTTGTAATTAGTCTGTGAGTTAGTGCTGCTCAATGGTTTTTTGCATCATTTCTTTGTATAACTAAGAAGCTAAAGCTTTTTTCTTTTTTTAGCCTGTTAAAAGTTGTAGTAGCGTGCTTGCATCAGTAGCATGCGCCCGCACTGCATGCCACTCTGAGATAAAATAGTAAGATACCATGGGGAATATCAGAATGGAAGTGAGTTCAAAAATCAGATACCAGCCAAAGCAAGGCATTCTGGGACTGGCAAACCCTTCTGTCATTACAGATAGGCCTTCAAACAAACAGACAAAAACTCTATTAAATTTGCAGACCAATACTTTCCTATCTGATTTAAGGATACTTAAAAGATCTGGAATTAAGACTTTAAGAACGCAGTTCTACCCTTATTCCAACTGTGTTCCCACTGAAATCATGAAGTGTTTTGTCTGAATGATGACTCCAGAATTGGGCCTTTAGCTTTCTAAGCGCAACTTATTCCCTTAAGAAGAAATATAATTCCCCTGTAATGTCTTTTCTTTCCTTCCCATACATGGGGCAGTTCTGAATTACAGTATGGGATGATATGTATGTTACAGTAGAGTGAATAGATTCCTGTAGTACCATTGGTAACACCAGAGCCAACATTCTGCCTTAGCTAGAAAGAGTAAGTGGGAAATAGCTTGTAAAATGCATGCTAGATATAGAGTTAAAATAAATGTAAGTGACATTTTGGGGGAAAAAGTGTAGAACAGCGTATGATTGATAAGGCAGGATAACCTAACAATTTTCTAAAGGAATCAGTATGCTTAAACGGAAAGCGTAGCATGGCTAGCTAGAGAGCAGAGAATAGAACTGTGACTCTCAGCCTTAGGTAACTAGGAGCAGAGGGTTTGTTTATATCTGTGAGACACAATTCTCCATTTGTTATGCACTCACAGACTTTAATAGGGGTCCTGCCATCTAATTTGTATGTTCTTTCAACCACAGCTCTTTAATGTGGGGCTCCCCTCTGCCATCTTATCCCTGTAACCTGACCTACGTAGCCTCTGTAACCTTAACAAAAATAATGAAAAGCTGAGAATCAGGTCCATAATGAGACTTGGCATTTTTTTTTAGGGATTTAAATTCAGAAGGGTTTGTGTTGCTGGGAGAACAATGAGACTCCTTGTGTTTTAACTGTTTCTTCTGCCTACTTCCTGTTCAATTTCAGTGTTATTTCCTCTTGCATTACAAATTCCCTGCATTAAAAAGAGAAGAGTTAATCTAATACACTTACTCCATTAAGTAAACTCTTTTAGTTACACTGGTCACAAACTCCTGAAGATGCTTTTGTTTTAGTTTAGTTTACACCTGCTAGGAATCAGCTTGAGCTAAATCAGAATAGATTTAAATTGGAAATCCAGTCTGCGCAGCGTCTGGTACTGGCTCAATTAGCTACAGTAAACAGTGGAACTTTTACTTAGATCAGCCTGATTTTGCAAGTAGAGAAACTCTTACTAGCCATGAAAGTACTGGACTAACAGTATTGGCTAATTCCAAGTAGGTAGTAGGTCACTGCTCACACTTTCCCACTGCACCTGGCCTTGACAGGTTTTATGCCTCATTTTCCAGTCCTGGCATCCCTTCAGCAGAGACTGCCTCTTAAAAGTGTTCTGTGCCAAACCATGGGGTAGTCTGCAAGTGTAACCCATGGGGACTCAAAAATGGAACCAGACTCAATTCCCCTTTTTGATAAAATTAGGAATTCAAGTTTACAGCATCAGAGACTTTAGTGTACTATCCCAGTGCACCACCAGTTTCCCACTTTGTATGTTTCTCTTTATACAGAGGGTGCACGTATGTGCAATGTGTTTTTCTGGTTTCTTATCTCTCCACCCATTTCAGAAAAACTTGTACCTGAAACAATGCTTTTAATCCTATTTTCTACCTTGCTTGTATTTTATTAACCTTTTTAAAAAAAAGCAAACAGTATCAGTAGCAACTTGTATGCTGTCCAGCAGCTAATTTCTCAGTAGTAAGATTAAACATAAGGTACAGTATTTTTAATAGCTTTCCTAACAATGTAAATTACAATTTGATATCAACTTCACTAAGTATCAGTTGCGGGAGCTGAATTTGACACTGTGTGGGATATAATCATAAAACTACTGCCAAACAATGTTACATTATTTACAGTAAAACTGATGTGGTCTAAATTACTTTAAAATTAGTTCTGTGGCTTTGTGCTAACTAAAAACCAGGCACTTTTGTCAACTTTGAGATACACTGAGAAATATTTTTTCAAATTTGAAGTAAACTGTTTTAGATTTCGATGTTCTTAGTTTCTCAGTGACCAAGAAACTGATAGTTGTAAAATGTTCTCTCTAAACAATACACTCACATTTAATCAGTCTAGGTAGTTCTTACTAATTTACTGTCTTAAGGATCTAACTTTGCAAGAGTGATGCTGGGAGGTACAGCATTGTGGCACCACTGTACAGATGTTCCTTGCTTTTCTGCGTTGATCCTGTGCCTTCTGATGCCTTGGTATGCTTGCAGAACTGGGAGAGGGTGTGTACCAGTAAACTGTAACAAACAGGCTTTCCTTTCCAGAAGAGTAACATCCTGGAGAAGAACGAGTTTTGTCTACACCACTACTACCACAGTTCATATACTATCTCACAGAGAATCATTCAGACAATGCCTGTACCAGCAGGATATCAGTCATTACAAGCCTTAGAGAGATACTATGTAATAGAATATTTGCATTTAAAAAAAAGGGGGGAAGGGGGAAGCAGGGGAGGGAGAACATGCCCAGGAAATCAAACCCTGGATAGCTTTTTCAGATCTCAGTTCCACATTGCTTAAGGATAGCATGACCCAATTTATTAGTAGGAGGTTATTTATAAGAAATTTGAGTTAAGCTTACTCTACTATGCTTACCCCACTTTGTACAGGAATTTCAGGTATCTTCAAGAAGTGGGTGATAACACTATGCTTGGTTTAATAACTGCCACTGAACAGGGATACTGTAGATGAAGCATCATCTGTTTTTATAAAAGCTAGATAACATCTTCTGTTTCTCATGTCCACTTTGCATTTTACAACAGCACTTCTAGAACAAGTGAACAAAAGACACAAATAAGGACAGCCAAAAACTAAGAACTTCCAGAAGTTTCAAGGATGTTGGGTCCTTACAAAGTTGGTATCTTTAGATCACTTCAAAAACACAAACTACAGAACATAGTCTCTCAGGCATATTCAGATCCAGTTCATCTGTGCACTGTTTCTCTGAGGGATGCTTTACACCACAGCTCAGCCACTGAGGACCAGGGTAGTAGCACCTAGTGTATAGCTTTGTGCTATGTGAAAAAGCATTTACTATAACTAATTCAAGTGGTGGCCAGCTCGTTTTATCCCATCACAAACTGGATGCTTAATAGAAACTGTCCAAAGCAACCAAACATGAACTGTACCACAGACTGGCTCCAAGAGAAGCCTGCAGCCTGCTGAGGTGTAGCCTGCTGTAGGGAAACCCTTGAGAAAGCCATCTGGTATAACAAGTTTACCTATCTTGTGCTAGTATTACAACAATGTTTTGTCCCAGAAGCACTCTCAGCTAGCCTGGCTAGACCCTCAGTCCTACTTGTTGGGTAAGACAGTAAGATTTAAGGAACTTACAATTGAAATAAAGATTGTGTTTTTTTAAAATGGCCTTTGTTTGGTGGTCCAGATTAAGCCAATCTGACTGTCCCCAGCTTGGTCTCTGAGCTACCCTGGGACCACACAGCAGCACATCAGTGTCAGCACATATCATCAGCTCAAAAATGAAGCATTTTTACCTCCTCCTGCCACTATAGGATGAGAACAGAAATACAATTCAAGCACTTTGAAAAACTCCCAGTTTTATCACCATTACAATGAGGGTCAAATTGTTACTGAAAGTCTCATTTTTCCATGCCGTCTTGTTTTAAATATAATCTTGATGCTTTTAAAAACTTGTATTATTGCTGAAGTTTAGAAATCCTATAATAAGAATAACCTTTTTTATTTCAATGATTTTTCGGTATTGTATCCTTCTGGAACCTAATGTTTTTATATGGTAAGCACACACCTTCTGACATTTTGTTATAAATGTATTAAAAAAATAAAAATTTAAATATTTTCATTGGTTTCTTTGCCTGCAAGAAAACCACAATCTCAGACCTGATAAAAACAAGGTATTTTGAACAACAGGGAGGGGTTTTTGTCTTTTATTGGTGCTGAAAGGAATAACTGGTTGATGCAAACAAGATAATAAAATTTCAAGGCTCAAATGATTCTGTGCAGTCCACTTTTTCTAGTTTTGTAATGTGGAGTCTGATGGCACTAACAGAAATCTGACTCTAAGGTGCAGTCTGGTGGGTGGCTCAAGTACAGTCTTACTGTGCTGCGCCTGTTCTAGTGAATCTGCAGAAAATAAAGGGTGAAAGAAAGGAGTGCTTTTAACTCACCCTCCACCTTGGCCTCTACTGCTCAAACATCCCCTGCACAGACACACCCCCGCTCAGTTTTCAAGGCATGCAACCTTCAGGCAAACATTCACAGTGCCTGCTGCAGGCTGCAAACCTGAACACCGCCTCTTGCACCAAGCCCATGCTTTAATTACAAGGATATGCATTCTACTAGCATTCAATGTAAGACCACTTCACAAGAATGATTTCTTATTATGCACTTGTGCATCTTGACATCTCAACAGTTACCTAGTCCCTGAACTAGTGGAGAGCAGGGTTTTACCTTTATACTGTCAGTCAAAGATAATTAAAAAAGAAAACACCCCCCCTGCCCAGCACATACATCCTTAAGAGATCCAGTGATTTAACAAAACAATGTCAAGTGAAAAGAACCCATTTTACTGGCTCAGTCTTTCTGAAGAGGCCACAAAGTCCTTTATAAAAGCCAGTAGGGAACCCCACCTTGAAGAATTTATTTTTTCCGCAAGCAGAAAGGAAGAAATCAGTGCAATGCAAGTGATGAAGGAAGAGTACAGTGCACAAGTTTCTTGTCATTAGCTCAGGAAGGAACCACTCCATCTTGTCAGACAGGATGTTAGACATGGATCTCTGCAGCTTTCTCCATCACTGCACAGGTGATTTTTGTCTGCATTCTGATGCTACCACAGCATTATACTTTGACAGACTTCATTTTCCACTGGTGGATTCCTAGTATGTTCCTCTCCTGCAATCTCTGATCTATTTTTCCATTGTTACAGTTTGCATTATTATGTAAGCAGCTCATGAGTGGGTTCCCCTCTATGAAGTGCTATAGAGCCACAAGGTAAAACACAATAATTTCTTGGACAGTTTGCATCTTCCAGACATCTAACCAAGAAGAACAAGTACAGAAAATTGTAACTTTTTCCTGC